GGGACCTAAACCTGTTCAGCCTTCACAAGAGAAGGCTGAGGGGGGACCTGGTGACTGTCTATAAACTCACTAGGGGGGACCGGAAGGGTTTGGGAGAGACACTGTTTCCCCTAGCGCCCCCTGGCATAACAACGAATAATGGACACAAGTTATTGGACAGTAGGTTTAGATTAGACATCCGTAAGAACTACTTCACAGTTAGGGCGGCTAGAAGCTGGAACCAATTTCCAAGGGAAGTGGTGTTGGCTCCTACCCTGGGGGTCTTTAAGAAGAGGCTTGATTGCCTACCTGGCTGGACTCATTTGAGTCCAGTTCTTCTCCCGCCCAGGCAGAAGGTCGGACTCGAAGATCTACAAGGTCCCTTCCGACCCTACTTCTATGATTCTATGATTCTGGGGCCACTCAATGTGGCTTAGGGTAGTACATGTGGCTTAGGGAATTATGGCATATTGTTTATAGACTTACATGTTGGTCTTTCATCTCCCCTTGGCAGCCGTGACAATAGCTATAAAACAGAATTTTATATTTTTGCTGAAGGTAGACAAAAGAGAAGTTGAAAGCAATGTTCAGTAATTTCTCTAACAAAATTTAAAGGAATAATTCCTGAATTCAACAGGACACCTGGGACCACTAATTACCAGCCTTTAATATTTCCTCTGACAAGACATGGTGAGTGCTCCCCAAACTTACAGTGCAAGCAGTACTACAGAAGCCACTGACCACTTAGCAAACTTTTATAAGATGTAGAATCTATACAACCCTGAGTGAACATGATTTACGTACCGTTCCCCTTGATATTCTTCCAGTGGAACTTCCTGAAAGGCATCCAACGGAAAGAGGTGATGATAAGACCGAGCCAGATGGGGTGCCGATACTAATGTAAGACCTGAAAATGTTTTATGAGAATTTGTATTAGACTGAGATGACTGAAAAGATTCAATACCTTGAGCAACAAAAGGAAGCATGATGGTTACTGTCCCTTTGGTCCCGAACGTGCATGTTGTCAGCAAAGATATTCTGTATTAGTTCACTTGTTCTCATACTTGCAATTTCTGCCTTTCCAAAATTAGTCTAAAGGATTAAGAAGCTATTAGTTCCATTCAGCTCTATGTAGATTTGTGACTGTAATTTTTCCCTGATCTTCATAATATTATTTACAATAGGGTTTATCTGAGGATTATTTCAAGTTTTTTCATTCTTATAAAAAATAGCCCCACACAGACACTCCAGGTAAACAAATACACTTAAAATTTCCACTGAAATAAAGTGTTTTGAGTACATAAGAAAATCAGCATCAAGCACAGCATAAAATGTTCTTAGTTAGATACAGTAAACTCTGCTTTCCACATATTTGGGACCCCCTAAACTCAGTTAATATTCAGTGGCTGTATAAGTTTTTAAGGGTTAAGACTGAGTTCTGCAGCAGGCACTAGAAAGCCTGATAATTAAGGGGCTTTCTTCCTCAAACACTTCCATTACCTCTAATTGGTCTATTTCACTGTTTTTGGTACTCACCACAGATTTTGCATTCCACAGGGAGTTCACAGTATTTGGCTCTGCACTGGGGACAGAAATATCCACCTAATGTTAGACCTGGATCACTGTTGTTTTCCAACTGCCTGGAATGAAAGGGAGACATCAACTATGTTTTCTGAAATTGCTGAACAGATCTAGAACTAGCACTAAGCTTGACATGTTGGTGTGAGGTGAAGTTGAATCTTTACAGGATTTACAATAAAATATCTATCTTTCTAAAATGAAAATGGGTCACTTGATGAACTACTAGGAAAGACACCAACACATCAGCACACTTTAATCTATCAGATACTGGGAGTAACCTTTCAATTTCATAGGAAGCAAAATGCAGATAATAAAAATAGCTTCATAAACCCAGAAACACAAGTACTCCATAATAGCTCAATTTTCACTAGCAATGGAGTTTCTAATCAGGTATCTAAAGAGCACCAATAAACATCAACAGGTTAGAAAGCAAGACATACACTTTATAAATCATGATTAATGATTATGGGCGCAGACAGAAGTTATATGTGTCATGTGATCAGCCCTCTGAAAGCACTCTACAGCCATGCTGTGAAATGTGCATGGCTGCAGAGCGCTTTAAAAGTGGCTGATTGTGTGACAAATAAACCCTCATCTAATGAGGGATCAGATGAAAACGTTCCAAAGTGGAGCACTTTTGGAAATTGTGTTCCCTATGATCAATCTGTCCACATCTGCAGTGCTTTCTGCAAGAAGGGAGGGGGGAAGGGGAAGCTGCAGGCTAGGGTTTGCCCAGCCTGTACTGGAGGGAAGGGTGGATTGGAGCCCCCTGCCACAGCCCCCCAACCCCTCCTCCTTCAGTTCAAGCTGGACAAACCCCAGCTCATAGCTCCCTGCCCCTTCCCCTCCCTACAGACAGCACTAGAGCTGGGGGGGAGCAGGGCTGCATAAACCCATGCCTGATGAAGGGACAGGCAGCTCAGCAGGGTACTGCATGCTGTCTGGCAGTTGGGACTGAGCACTGCCGGGCTCTGGGTGACTTCTGGAGCCGCCCCAGCTCCCAGACAGTGCATGGCACCCTGCTAAGCTGTGCTGTACCTGTGCCATGAGGCAGCTGCCATATGAGTGCCAGGGGGGAGGGGAGGGGGGGAAAAAAATCACTGCTGCCCCCTATTACCCCACACTGTGCACAGCGGGGCTCTGCCATGAGCCCCTAGTCGCCGCTGCCAGAACTGGTGAGTGTGGGGCTTTATTTTATTTTTTAAATTGCTGGGATGCTGGGGCCAGGTGGGGGGGGG